TGTTGAATCTATGCCACGAAGAATTGAAGCAGTTCTGAAGGCAAAAGGGGGTCCAACCCGTTACTAGCGTGGTGTACCTAATAAAGTGGCCGGTGAGTGTATATATATATTATAGCTTAATATTTGTAAAAATCTCTGGGTTGCTGCCATTTTTGCTCAGGTCAAATTGTGGCACGGCTGTCTTGAATTGGGTTGAATCCAAACGTTAATCAGTTGCAAAAGTACATGCAACGATCACTTCCAGAGAGTTTCATTAAAATCCATCCAATTATTCATGCAGGGCCGACCCATGGCATAGGCAGTACAGGCAAATGCTAAGGGCGCCGTCAATCTAGGGGGCTTCTGGTATTCTGCTTCAAATGAATTATATTATTTTAACTGGACAACCTGTTTTCTAAAGATAAAAATAATATCAAGACAAAACTATTTAATTTGGTTCATGAATGTACGTAAATTGGCAGTGAGATTTAGAAAAAAGCAAAAGGGGTGCCACCTGAAATCTTGCCTAGGGTACCAAATTAGCTAGGGCCGGCCCTGGGTTCATGAGATATTTTGCTAATAGACAAACGCACAACTGGTCGCCTCATAAATAAACTTGACAATAAAGATCAAGAGTTTAACATGATCAGCAGTTCATTTGAAGGTGATTTTAGAAAAGGTTACTTTAATATTCACATTCAAATCAGAGCCCTTTAGAATTCAAAGGTCCTTACAGAGAGTTTGTGGAAGTGAGATATTTGAGGATCTCAGAAAGAACTGTGGGTTTTGTTCAAAACCACCCAGAACAGTCTTAGTCAGTGATTTTATTATTTATTTATTTTATTTTTATCACAAAGAGAGGAAACCCAGCACCATTGTTACCCTCCACAGGAACCAGGAGGACATGTAGGAACCCAGGGTTAGCATGTAAACAACTAAAGGTTTCACTCACAAATCTTCTCCATCAGAAGAAAACTGAACAATGGTGCATGGCAGAGCTGCAGGGTTCACATGATGCAACTCATCTGCAGCCTGGTCCAAACAGAACACGGTCCTAAAAATGTTCTGTACACAGAACCAAAACCTCACTTTTTGTTATGAATGAGAGGTGTTGTGTTTGGAGAAAAGAAAAGACTAAATTCAACCACAGATTCCGAGCCATTGGTTCAGATATGTTGACGACACCTGGGTTAAAATTAAAGCCCAGGAAGTCCAACATTTCACTGATCACATCAACTCTGTGGATGAATATATAAAGTTCACATGAGAGGATGTAAAAAATGGCAGGTTGGCATTCCTTGATTGCGATGTCTCGGTTTCGGATGGAGGACGGTTGGAAACTGGTGTATATCGTAAGCCCACCCACACAGACCAATATTTGGCGGCACGATGGCTCAGTGGTTAGCACCGACGCCTCACAGCAAGAAGGTCCTGGGT